TACTTCCTCTTCCGCCTTTCATAGTCATGTGTGAAATAGGGCTGTATAAATGGAGTCATGTGCGGACGTATTTTACATCCACAAACACCAAGACACGGTTTGCGATACATGTGGCAAGACAGTGAGGTGTTGTGGCAACACCACTAACCTCGTCAAACACCTCACATTAAATCATGTAACAGAATATGATGAGCTTATGTTGAGGTGAACTGAAGAAGAGGAGAGGAGAGGGGTAGGTGCTGCTAGGGCGATACAGATGTCTCTCACAGATCCTTTAGTCCTTTAGTGCTGCAGCCAGGCAACATGCTCAAATGGCTTCAGTTTTTTTTCTATATGATAATTCTGCATTATTAAGTGATAAGAACAAGTAATCTGATGTCCTGTAATCATTATGAAACTATAATTTGAGATACAATAAAAGATTTTGTACAAAGTATATAGGATCAGTATGGTCGATACCACCCTGAATTTTACTTGGTATCAGATTGGAAAGGAAATCAGTGGTATCGCACATCACTAGTTCCATCTGAACTTTGTATTGCCTGCTGGGTAACACTCATAGGATCAGGGATTAGGACTTTTTAAACAGAGAGCTGATCCAGACTTACTGTATTGGGGCCCAGTTCCCACCCCATGGACAGTACCTTCTAATGATTCAATAATGGCACACCAGATGGATTTAGAGAAACATCAAAGAAAATTATGCAATTCTGGTTTTTCTCATTCATATTCAAAACTCAAATAAAAAAAAAATCAAAACTATTTGTTTCTGTTTAAATAAGTGATAAATATTTAGGCCAATGTTTATAAAATATATATTCTATCCATAAATGTCAGAAATTATATCTCACAGTGGGTTTTGGTTGCCATTTTGCTCAAGTGAGTTCCTGATTAGGATCTGTGACCCCAAAATAATTTCCATTAAACCATCTGGTATGTTGATGGCGGTGACAACACTGACTTTATAGACAGCTAACAAGTCTGTTCTCCACCAGGGAGCCAGATCTTCGGCAGTATGAGTATAGTGTCCTCTCTGTGGAGAGCCCATAGAATGGCCTATAGCACTGTTTAAAGGCACATTCTAAAGCAGTTCCACAAGATTGTAGAAAGGTTTGAAAAAGCACGAATCAGTATTTGGCACGTGTGTTACAGTACATAAAAAGATCTCATGATTTTCTTCTTTACTTTCAGTATCACTTATCACTGGTGAATTTCCAGCTGAGATTCCAGCAACATCGGGCCTGGTGTAGAATTCACTCTGTTCTGCATCAATTTTATTATTCCTTTATTTTGCATTTAGTTAATGAGGGAGTGAACTCTTTAGATTGAGATTCTCCTTGGTAATAGTGTGCTAGGCTGACATAGGCAGCAATCAAGCATGTTTTCAGCACCAGGAGAAACTGGAACTCCTGAAAGAAAACTGTGAAAGAACGGGCGAATAAAGAACATGCAAACTCCACAAAGAAGGGCTCCACCAAGGTTTACAACCCAGAAACCTCATCAGTGCTATCAACAGACATAGAAAAGATTCTTGGGGCACAGATCCTGATCGGGATCAGTGCTAGCACTACTGCTGTGATCTAGCAGTGCTATCCACTGAGCCATACTATTACTAGGATGACATTTATTCATATTATTGCTATAAAAATTACATCATTAAATACATTTTAAGATATTTTTCACATACCAGTGAAGTGCCCCATACTCATATTTGCCTCCAAAGATTGCCTCCAATCATATGACCCCCAGGTTACACAAGCTGTTTGTTCTCGTGTCTGTGCCCTCCGATGCCTTCCCCAAACCACAGCTCAGTCCATGTTTAAGCCATTTCCCTTTATCTACTAAAAAACGCTGTCAAAGCTAAGATGAGGACATGGGCCAAGCTAGTGCAATATTTATTATATTAAATTAAACAGCGATTAGTGATACACTTTAAATGACAGGCAGACTTTCTTGTTACTTCTGTAGTGTTCTTATGAGGATTACCAATCACATACTGGACTCCTTTATCTGTTTTGGTTCATGAGCACACTCACATTCATGACACATGTATGTTTAAGCAGATTGCTTCCACAAACAAACAAAAAGGTTCAGATCAATAGTTTTAAAACCTTTTTACCACCAGCATACATCATATCTTGTATCTGTTGGACTCACCCAGAAATCTATACACCTTTAGGCCTGGAAGGCTCTTTACCTTCTTACCATCAGTCTAAGACTTCTGCATTTGGAAGACTTCAATTAACTTTTTTTTTCACTGTATTGTTAGGGCTGCAGACAAGAACCAAGATGGGGGATACATTAGTGATGCAAGTTGGTGTTATTTATTCAAACCTTTCACCATCATGTTAGTACTGTAAATTGATTTGATTTATCGTAATTATTTGTCCTTATTTTGATGTGTGTGTGTATATATATATATATATATATATATATACACACACACACACATCAATCCATCAATCCATTAAATCCATCTTATCAATGTTAAACAAAACACATTCACATTACAATTTGTCACAAACTAATCTTTATCACACATAACAACAGCTCCTTAAAATTTTTCCAACCCAGGTGACCATAGAAGAGAAAACAAGAGTAAGTTCATCACTTTGGTCCATACTACAGATACTATAGTGTACTATACTATAACGTGGACCTAGTTTTTGCAGGCATTTATTGTTATATAGAATGCAAAGGAATAAGCTCGCCTGCTTTTTATAAATATAATTATAATAATTCCCATGAGAAATAGTACAAACCAAACAGCAGAAATTTAGACAGAAATTATTTACACATGACTTCAACTTAATGTGTTGTCATCAGGATTGGCGATATGAAAAAGATAAACAGTGTTCTATGCAGTTACTGAACTTTTGCCAGAATTTAAAAGAGTGCAAAACAAATTCAAATATAAACTATTTCTAACAAAATAACTATGCATCACAGTTTATACTGTGTCATCTCCTTTATGGATTTGTTGGATCCTTGGTGCTGGAGAAATAAACTCTCTGCACAGCATCGTCAGAACCTGAAAGGACATGAGTTACATTTAAATTAAGGCAATGCACAAGGGTTGTACACAAGCCAACATGTTGCAAGTAAAACCTGATTGGCAGATGAAGTTGAGGTTCTCCTCACAGGGCTGGTCCTGCCAGAGGAAGTGGTCCGTGCTGGCCACACCTCCACAGGTGCTGGAGTAGCTGTCAGGAACAAAATCTTGTGGCCAATTTAAGAAATTCATGGAATATCCAGACATCCAGAACCAATCGTCTCCTCTGAGGGATCTTTTGGACAGAGAAAAATATATGAACAGATTTAAACTGAATGGATAAACTGCTATTGATAGAGCATAGGCAGCACTTGTTTACATTGAGTTTGACAAAAGCTACATGATTGATATTTATCTTTAAAATAACAATATATATTACTAATTTGTATGGTCAGGAAGACACTAAATACATTTTGTTATTCTGCAAACTCAAGGCTGGCCTTTCCAGTATAACACTTCAGTCCAAACGGAGTAAAAAAAAAAATAAATAAGAAGAATTTCACTACAAAAAAAAAAAAGTGTACAAATCAATCAATAGAAATTTCTTTCAAATTTCTTGTGGATTAAATAATGTCAATTAAGTTTCTGCCACCCCTATGTTAGAGCAGGTTTGCTGTTGTCTGGGAAAGGCAGCTGTGGAAATGAGTATACACAACAAAACAAAGCATCTGACTTATAGATTTACAGTACCATATCACCCTATTAGAGCACTTCGCTCTCGCTCTGCAGGCCTACTTGTTGTTCCTAGAGTATTTAAAAGTAGAATGGGAGGCAGAGCCTTCAGTTTTCAGGCCCCTCTTCTGTGGAACCAGCTTCCAGTTTGGATTCAGGAGACAGACACTATCTCTACTTTAAGATTAGGCTTAAAACTTTCCTTTTTGCTAAAGCATATAGTTAGGGCTGGACCAGGTGACCCTGAATCCTCCCTTAGTTATGCTGCAATAGACGTAGGCTGCCGGGGATTCCCATGATGCATTGAGTTTTTCCTTTCCAGTCACCTTTCTCACTCACTATGTGTTAATAGACCTCTCTGCATTGAATCATATCTGTTATTAACCTCTGTCTCTCTTCCACAGCATGTCTTTATCCTGTCTTCCTTCTCTCACCCCAACCGGTCGCAGCAGATGGCCCCGCCCCTCCCTGAGCCTGGTTCTGCCGGAGGTTTCTTCCTGTTAAAAGGGAGTTTTTCCTTCCCACTGTTGCCAAAGTGCTTGCTCATAGGGGGTCATAATATTGGGTTTTCTTTTCTTTTTTATTATAGGGTCGACCTTATAATATAAAGCACCTTGAGGCTGTTGTTGTGATTCGGCACTCTATAAGAAAAAATTTATTGTTATCAGAGATCATTTCTTCTTTGAACAATTGGTAGTTATTTTCATTTTCTTCATACATTGTTCACATTTCTTTCTAGCTTTTCTTGTTTTGATTTTGTTATTTCTTTGATTTCCTTGGGGTCATCTGACATTATTTCTAGTTCTTTAATAGATATTTTTTATTACACTTGTGATTGGAGAGCTCCACCATCTCATTTATATTTTGTCATGCTGATTCACTGATCTGTAGATGTACATCAACTAAATGAATCTATAGCTATCAGTACCTGCGCAGTCCAAGCCAGACGTGGTCTGTGAGGGAGAAAGGAACGAGGCTCAGCAGCTGCTCCAACTCGCTTTGCTCCTGTTGGCTGTGAAGGCTGAGCAGGTCCCAGTAATAACGTCTACAGTACATCAGAGCATCAGACCAGCAGAGCCTCTCTCCCACAACCGTCACGTTCCTGCCACCAAACTGCAGGCTCACAGGCGGAGGAGGGCTGGGAGGAGGTGGAGGAATGACAACATCTGGCACTGCAGGGAAGTATTCTTATTAGAAACCATATTTGGTTTTTTATTGTTTTCCGTTTATTTTAACATCTTAAATTGCAATGTTCTGTATTAAAATTCGACACCGAAAGCTAACTGTGAGCAAAGATAAAATATTAGAAAAAGGGTAACAACAGTAAAACTGTTACCATAATTTGAGCACACACAACAACCAAAGAACTTCCAAAAATAGCACAACAAGACCCTACCAGGCAGAGAAGCAAACACCTCCACTTCACACAGCGTCAGAATTTTCGGAGATCCTGGTATGATCACACTGATGTAGCGACCTTCCATTGCATTACACTGGAATGTGTATGTTGGTGTACCATCTAATGATTCGATCATGCCACAACTGATGGATGTAGAGAAACAACAAAGAAAATGTCAGTTTTGATTTCTAATCTATGTTCAAACATTAGTTTGTTGTTGTTTAAGTACAGAAAAAAATTTAACTTAATGGTTATGGAGAAATGCTCAGAAATCAGATCTCACCTGGGGTTTTGGTTACCATTTTGATCCAGCGAGTTCCCGATCAGGATCTGTGCCCCAAGAATCCTTTCTGTATAACCTTCCTGTCTGTTGATGATGGTGACAGCAGTGACTTTATAGACAGCCAGCAAGTCTACTCTCCACCAGGGACCCAGATCTTCTAAAGTACGTGTACAGCATTCTGCCAACAAGTTTCCATTCCTGCACCCATCAGCACCCTTTGAGGGCCCAAACACTGGCCCATACCAAGTTGATGACTGTACTGTTTGTTTGTTTAAGGCCACGTTTGGAAGCGGTTCAACTAAATTGTTGAAAAGAAGAAACAAGTATGAATCAGTATCAGGCAGATGTGTTTCAGTAGATCAGATCCAGTCACTTAAAGCTCTACCTGCTGGGGCAGCATACACCTCCACTTCACACAGGGTGAGAGTCTTCTTCTGTCCAGGAAGAAACACGTTCACAAAGCGACCCTCCATGCTGCCTCCATCACACCGGTATGTGTAGGTTTTACCCGCTTTGATATGTGAGATGGAAGCACACCTGACAAGCAGAGAGTGTGGGGGCAGCATTATGTTAGTATTTGGACTTCATGTTAAGGAAAAAGAACATCAAGTAAATAACTAGTCCTGTGGTCGATAATATGTATATTCTAATTGCTGAAACATTGCTGTTCAAGTTATTCTAAAATAAAACAAACAAAGAAAAAAATCACAATGAACGTTGACTGATATAAAATTACCTGGGATTATTGTTTCCATTGTTCTCCAGTGAGTTTCCTATTCTGATCTCAGCTCCATCCAGTCTTTCAGCACAGCAGTCTCCTCTGTTGGTGACTTTTACAGCAGTGATTGTAAAGCTTCGCTGCAGGTCCACCCTCCACCAGGGGTTGGTCTCGTCTTCAGCCGTGTGGCTACAGAACCCATTGCTATAGAACGAGTTCCGTCTGCCATCGATGGCTTTGGACGCAGTGGCAAAAGAGAGTGTAGATGACTGGGTAGCTTCTCCTTTGAGTGCCACATTGGGTAATGGGTATCCTTGAAGGAAAACCAAGAGGACAATAATTTCTTTTGGTTGGGCCCTGACAACCCTTACTGGTAAAAAAAACAAAAAACCCCAAAACAAATAAGGATTAAAGCATCATTATATTTTTTCAGTAATCAAAAACACCCTGACACGAACACCTTCATTGGTACTTTTACTCAGTCACTTATAGTCTTCCTTATCAGCATCAGAATTAGTGGTGCAATGGATCAAAAATCTCACGGTTCGGATCGGATCACGGTTTTAAGTCACAGATAGGATCAATTTTCGGATCAGCAAAAATAGAAAAAAAAGACAAAAATTCGACTCGCCATTTATTATTTAAGTATTTTTTGCCTATTAAAAAACATTCAACTGAAGACTCATTCCACGCACTTATATAAAAACAAATTAAGGTGCAATATGGACATTATGGACCATGCTGGGCACCTCTGCATCCTCTGCACACGGCCATAAACAACCAGAGGAGTCTGTTCAGTGACAGGTTGCTTCTCCCAAAGTCAAGGACCAGCAGACTTAAAAAGTCCTTTGTCCCACACGCCATCAAACTGTTTAACTCCTCGCTGGAGGGGAGAGGGAGGGGAGACGGGGACAAAGGATGGGGGAACAAGTAAGCTGTAGTGCCTTTTCACTGTGCAATAGTTTTTGTTAATAACCAACGGTGTAATAAATCAAATCACTTTTATTGTCACTTCACATGTGCAGGTACACTGGTACAGTACATGTGAGTGAAATTCTTGTGTGCAAGCTTCACAAGCAACAGAGTTGTGCAAAAAATACAATAACATAAAACAAGCAAAATATAAGAATGGCTAAATCTGAGAGTAATAAATATATGTTCAATAGACTCACTTGAAATGTGCCGTTCCCTTGTATTCTTATTCCTATTTATTCTATTTATCCCTTTTGTATTCCCTGTATTTATATATGTGTATATATGGTATTGTAGCGGGTCAGGGCTGTTCGGGGTTCTGTTTTTACAGTTATGTTTTGTTTATGTTACCATAGTGACAGGTGACGCCCTCTTGCTGCAACGGTGTGTCCTTCCAGGGTCAGAGGGCGCCCTGTGTGTTGTTGTTATTGCTGTGCTGTTTCCGCGCTGAGCAGTGAGCTAGCAGCAGTGTTCTTCTGGCAGATGTAAATAAATGGCGGTGCTCCCTGGCTAAGAGGGCGGGGGAGCAAGACCGAATGGAATTCTGTCTCCTCCTTGTCTGAGCTTGCCACATTGGTGTCAGAAGTGGGATAGCTCACCCTCGCCGTAATGGAGAGAGACATTCAGAGGCTGGAGCAAGCTGTCGAGGAGAACATTCCCCGCTTGGGAAACTGGCGATTGAAGAGAGAGGAGGTGAGCGGCCATGTAAGTCCCCCGACGGGCCCCGATGGCGCGAGCGCACCACGGCGGCGGCCCGTCACGCCAGATGTTAGGGCAATGCTTCATGGGCTACATCTGCCGACCCACACGCCAAGCCCCCAACCGCGAGCAGTTATGCCTTCCACGCCAGTTAAGGTACCGAAATACAACGGGCTAACCCCGCTAGAGCCCTACCTCTCACAAGTGCGACTGGCGGCCAGACATAGTGGCTGGAGTGAAGAGGAGACTGCTACACACCTAGCGCTAGCATTAGAGGGAGATGCACTGCAGATACTCCTTGATCTAGCCCCGGCAGAGCAGCATGAGCTCCAGGCCCTCACCGCGGCACTCGGGAGGTGATTCGGGCAGCGGCACTCCACTGATCAGAGCAGAGAGCGGCTGACCAACCGGAGCCGTTGGCCGGAGGAGAGCCTGGGCACCTTTGCAGCAGACGTGTTGCTGTATGCTTGTCGTGGCTATCCGGAGTTTCCAGCAGCAGCCCGTGAGGAGCTTAGCCTGCATGCTTTTCTGCGAGGACTTTTCCCAGAGCGACAACGCCAACACGTCTGCCTGGCCATGCCTCAGGACTGGTGCTCACCTCGCGACCTAACCAGCAGGTACGAGATATCCCAGCTGCAACCCTCGGTGCCCCGGAGGCGTCCTCGTCGACCGACCAACCACTGCTACCGGTGCGATGAGCCTGGCCACGTGGCGCGTGACTGCCCAGCACCAGCCCCGAAGACCAGAACTACGCAGCCTCAGGGAAACGAGGAGGGAGCGGTGTAGCGAGGGGACCACCGCTCCAGCTTCCTGCCCCCCTCCAAGGACGATGCACAGTGGTGGGCCGAGTTGGGCACCTCAAGGGACTCTACCTGAGCTGCTGTGTTGAGGACCAGCCATGCCAGGCCCTGGTGGACACGGGGTCTACCATTTCCCTGATACGACCTGGCGTGCTCCCTGAAACATCCGGGCCACTGGTGAAGGGTTGGTTGCCCACAGACACCCAGCTGATGACAGTGACGGGGGAGAAAACTGTTATGCGGGGGAAGAAACCGTTGCGGATCCGAGTGAAGGATCTAGAGCTGGTGCACGACTTCTGGCTCGCCGACATTCAAGACCAGTGCATCATTGGCCTGGATCTGCTGAGCCGCTGGGGGGCCTGCGTCGACACCGCGAAGCTGGCTATCACTCTTGGCGCAGAGACTTTTGCCCTCCAGCGCGGCCAAAAGCAGGGAGCGGGGACCAGACGAGACAGGCGTCGGGCAGCTGCCGCTCAGCAGATTTCGGATGCCGGTGGCTCCGGGTCATCTCCACTCGCCTCAGCCTCAGCCTCTCAGCCCGACAAACCTCCCTCGACCGAGACCATCGAGGCTGTTGATGACCTTTGGCAGCGCAGCAGCGTAGGCCTCAACGTCGACCAGCGCCAGCGGTTGAGGTGCCTCCTGGACGAGAATGTGGACATCTTTGCCGCCAGTGACAAAGACTGTAGGCAGACGAGTCTGGTCCAGCACACCATCGACACCGGCTCTGCTCAGCCCATCCGTCTGCGCCCACACCGGCTGCCCCTCTCAAAACGGCAGGTAGCGGAAGAGAAGATCCGTGAGATGGCTGCGGCTGGGGTGATCGAGCCGTCCAATAGCCCATGGGCGGCACCCGTGGTTCTGGTGGGGAAGAAGGATGGCAGCCCGAGGTTCTGCGTGGACTTTCGCCGTCTCAATGCAGTCACCAAGAAGGACTCGTACCCGCTGCCGCGGATCGACGAGGCCCTAGATTACGTTACCGGCTCCAGTTGGTTCAGCTCCCTCGACCTACGCAGCGGTTACTGGCAGGTGGAGCTAGCCCCCGAAGCAAGGCCTAAGACTGCATTCACCATTGGACAGGGGCTGTGGCAGTTCAGGGTCATGCCATTTGGGCTCTGCAATGCGCCAGCGACGTTTGAGAGGCTGATGGAGAGGGTGCTCGTGGATATCCCTTCGTAGCCGCTGCGTTGTGTACCTGGATGACCTGTTGGTGCACGGTGGCGACTTCGACAGTGCACTGTCTCACCCTGAGCGAGGTCTTGAGTGCCATCCGACGAGCTGGGCTGCGCTCAACCCCAGCGAAATGCCGGCTGTTGGCGAGAGAGACCACGTTCTTGGGCCATGTGATCAGCGCTTGAGGTGTCGCCACTGACCCCGCAAAAGTGGCTGCGGTCCGGGACTGGCCGACTCCCTCGAACGTCCAAGAACTGCGGAGCTTCCTGGGCCTAGCCTCCTACTACCGTCGGTTCATCAAGGGGTTCGCGACGATGGCCAGCCCCCTCCACCGCCTGACTGACAAGGGACAGCTGTTTGGCTGGGGGGATGCCTGTGCTGCGGCTTTTGCACAGCTGAAGGAGGCCCTCACCAGAGCCCCAGTCCTGGCCTACCCCGACGCCGGCAACCTTTCATTGTGGACACTGATGCTAGCAATGTAGGAGTCGGGGCGGTCCTTTCCCAGCAGGACGAGGCTGGAGAACGGGTGGTGGCGTACTTCAGTCGTAGACCCACGACGGCCTCCTGTACCGGAGATGGCGGGCCCCCGGTCAGGGCAGAGATCTCCTGCAGCTGTTGGTGCCTCGGTCGCTGCGGTCACAGGTGCTTGAGCTGGTCCACGGCTCGGTGGGGGCAGGACACTATGGGAACGCCAAAACTCTCCGCCGCCTCAGGGGACGGTTCTACTGGCCTGGCTGTCGACGGGATGTGGAACTTCATGTGCACTGCTGTGACACCTGCATCGGCACAGAAGGGCCCAACTCAACGCTCCACTGCCCCCCTTCAGCAGTACCTGGTGGGGGCCCCAATGGAAAGAGTGGGAGTGGACGTCCTGGGGCCGGTATGTGTTGGTGGCTATGGACTATTTCACGAAGTGGCCAGAGGCCTACGCGGTGCCGGACCAGAGCGCAACGACGACGGCCGAGAAGCTGGTGGAGGAGATGTTCACCCGTTTTGGGGTCCCGGCTGAGCTCCACAGTGACCAGGGGCGTAACTTCGAATCGAAGGTCTTCGGGGAGATCTGCCGGCGACTGGGGGTGGAGAAGACGAGAACCACACCGCTCCACCCCAAAGCGATGGCTTGGTTGAGCGCTTCAACCGCACGCTGGCCACCCAGCTCGCCATTCTCACCAGCCGCCACCAGCGGGATTGGGACCGACATCTGCCCCTGGTCCTTTGGTCGTATCGGACTGCGGTTCAGGAGTCCAGCCAGTGCACACCTGCCGCTCTGATGTTTGGACGGGAGCTCCGGACGCCTGTGGATCTGGTGTTCGGGTCCCCCCCGAGCCGGAGATTGATGGTGGGCCAGAGATGGACTACTACAGGAGGCTGAGGGAGCGGCTGCAGGTGGTTCATGACTACACCCACCAGGCCCAGGCCAGCGCCGGAGTACGACAGAAAAGAGCCTACGACACCAAGTGCCGAGGGGGGGTTTTCATGCCAGGCGACAAGGTCTGGGTGTACTGCCCGGTCCGCAAGAGAGGAGTGT